TATTCATGTCTCAGTATGTGTGTGAGGCAAACATATGAATTATTACAGTAAAATATTGGGTAATAATAATAATAAGAAGAAGAAGAATAGAAGTGAGCAAAAATATTTTGTTTACGAAATCATTAACCTCAGAAACACTCCATATTCTGAAAACGTCCTTTGGTCACAATTCCTATTTATTTTAAACTTTTTATTTAAAAAACAATACTTTCAGGAATGCAGTACTGATGTGGTCTTGGAGAAATAGCCTTGAATAAATAAGGCACTGTGCTATGCAGCAGCACAGTCCAGCAGATCTCTGTTCAAACTGACATTGCTAAGTGGAAAAGACGTAATTATTGTACCCACTGTGCTTCTTGACTTTGTTCTGTTACCATGACCACAGTGGTACCAATTTGTAATAAACAAAGTGCTAGTATCTGTGTACAGCAGCCATTACAACAGCTGCAATGGTCCATTGCAAAGAAGTGTTGATGGAAAAGCTGATGTCTGATAGCTCTGATTCATTTTTATCAGGGAAATTTTCAGAACTGACAGCTTTGCATGTTCCCAAGAGCTTGCAAATTACTTGCAGCAGTGAACATGAAAAACTTTGACAATAATTACAATTTTTTGAAGTACAAATCCAGCTTCAGAAAAAACGGTACACCCACTGTTTTTACTAAACCATTTATATGCACATTATATGACAGCATTTATTGGATTTTTCATGATTTCAGCTTCTATAATTGGCACAGACTTTACATTTTGCATTGTTTGAGTTATAATGTTTTCTACTTTAAAATAGATAATTAATTTGGAAAGTCTGTTAAAATACTCTTCACCTTGAACTAATTCTCATCAGTTAATTATACTGAAATGGAATTGGCTCAGACCATCAGGGTACACGTATCCTGCATCGTTACTAACTAATAATTCTCAACTATACAGTTCCCCATGTTCTGGTTCCTTGTGGGCGTCTGATTTGGATAGGCACTGTCTGGTTATTTTACAAGAACCATATGGTGTGGATAACACTATATTCTGGTTGAATGACAGCCTGTCCCAGCCGCCTGTGGAGGGTTCAGGATTGAGAGTATGGTCGGGGGTAGAAAGGTAAGACAGGTTTATTGACTTAACAAAAACACAACTATGCGTAGTAACAAGACAAACAATGACAGACAAGAATAATTCACATCGGCAACTTATCGGCAGTCCCCTCTGATGCCTGATGTACAACAAGTTTCTCTTTCCACAAAGCTCAGCGAAGTCAGGCGTCCCTGATCAGCGCTGTCCGAGAGGGACCGGGAAGGACCCTGGTATTCAGTCCTTGGGCTCCTCGAAATCCACAGGCCCACTGATCCAGGTCAACAGCTAATTAATCCCTTTCACCAAGCTGTATCTTCCTTATGAATGATTTCCGGATGTTTTAGCCAATTTATAGCATCTGAACGGTACTGATAACTTACAGCCACTCTGATTCTTTTTACTTCGGCTATCCTTAGACTGACCAATAGCAGTACAAACCTTGCATTCCTTTTGATAAGGTTAATTTTAACTACGCCACAGGGCCTTACTACTTCAAGGCTTTCCTAAATTTACTAGGCCTTACTTTATACAAGGCCTTACTACATCTTAAACTTTAATTAGGCTCTTAACAACAACAGATAGCTTAATATCTAAACAAATACAGAAAAACACTTGGTCTAATCTTCATCGAGCCTTCAGCAAGCACCTTTATCACACAGATAATTTTCAGCTGTCACAACAGCCATAGGATCTGCATAGTGTACAGTAGGGTTACTGCTTGACAACTGCACATTGAATATGCAAATTCCACTGCTCTGATTGGTTGTCATATTTAGCATTTTAAAGCTCACTGCCAAAAATACATATATTGGCTCATCATCTTGTTCCTTTACCTGAAAATCTGGCTGTAAAAATACTGACAAGGAATTGAATATCATTATTTTGAAAAATAAATAAACCATTGTCAAATCACCACCTCTCTACCTACATTTTGGTCTGGGAAGAGGTTGTTATATGGGTTGGGTGTTTTCCTGTTTAAAACATAGGCACATATGACTCCTGCGTGTGGAAATACTGTATTTCCCACAAATTCTTGTTAGAAAATTACTTATATAGTAGGTGGCTGATTGAGTTCTTCAGTATAGAGTAAATTATTTCTCATTGCTATATAAACAGATATTTGAAGTATATCAAACAAAATAGCATATTGCTTTTTCTTTTAAGTAGTGTTCTTCATGGTAACATAATTTATATGCCAAGTACTATTTTCATCAGTGTTAGACACCATTAATTTAAAAGAATATCCTTTTAGAAACTGCAATAATTTTCCCTCTCTAACTAAATTTAGCCACTTAAAATTATATATTTCAATGGATACTACATGAGTATAATTAAACCTACTCAGTCTTTAATGTATCTTGTTATAGATAATGAATTTTTTATTTTTTTTTACTTCTTGATAATTATCTAAATAAGCTCAAATTGTGGAATCCCTCTTTGCCATAGGCCAGGTACAGACATTACACTTCTACCAGTATAAGATAAGAAGGTCAGCAAACAAAACCAGTCTATAGCCATAACAGAACAGAAGTTCAGCACCCATAGACTGGTTTAAAAATGGTGGAACCTGGTCTAAGATTTGCTCCTCCCCTGCAACAGGTGATTATGTGTTCTGTTCACTACTGATCTACACCACTTACAAAAAACTGTGTAACTTAGATTGATTCCACCTCAGGCTTTTTGAATGTCTGTGCCTAGCCTTAGTATTAATTTACTAACACAAATTTCAGTGGGACTTCTCACATTATAATAAATGCTGACCAAGCTGAGTTTTGCAACTTGATCTTTAGCCATCTAAACAGCTAAAAATAGATGTGGATTTTTAATTCTTCTTTTGTGAGCAGGAAGAATATAAAAAGCTACTTTCTTCTCTTTCCATCACTAAGCTTTTCCTTTTTTCTTGGGCTGTTGCCCACTGAAATAAATGGAAACACCCCCGTGTCCCTCAATGGGCTTTGTAATCAGGTACTGAGAGTTTAAAACATTTACAAAATATTCATATTTTTATTGAACCAGTTCTGGCGGTTTGGACATTCTACTTGCTCCTGTTAGCTAGCATTCATCCATATAAAACAATCCTTGAATATTTTGCTACCCCAAACACATGCCCATTCTGTTTAATATACAGAAAAGCTGGTCATGCGTTTATGTGACCGCCCTTGAAAAGAAGGCTTTAGAATGACTTTAAATGCTAAATTAGCAATGTTCAGATGGTGCTTGCTTTCCAACTCTTAGTTGAGTTGAGTTCAGGGAAAGTAGTGGGGTATTCAGAATGTTCTCAGAGCTAATTCTCTCCCTGCAGTTGGGATTTACTGATGCCTCTCAGAGGAGGAAACACACAGCTTGTCTCTTGTTCTTTTGAAGTACATAGGAATGGCAGACCTATATCTAAAATGGTGCAAAGTGGAAAATACTTTATAATTTGGACCATACCTCTGAGAATTGCTTTTCAAAGAAGGAACAGAGAGAGAGAGAGAGAGAGAGTCTGCAGAAATCAAACCGTTTACATGTAAAACTGAGAGTTTGATGGCAAGATCACCTTGGATCTCATGGTTTGATCTGAATGCACCAGCTGAGGAAACTAGTTTTGGATAGTTTTGCCAGCTGGAGAAAAAGTCCCAATCTTGTGGTCCATGTGGACAAAAATGAAAAGAGAAGTTGATGACTATTTAATGGGCAGAAGTATTGTGGAGTCAACAACAACAACAACAAGCCATGGAACCAATACATAAAGTGGGGAGTGATGCATTACCACAGTGATATATTATCACTCATTGTTTCATTTTGTATGACCTGATATGAGAATAACCTAAAAAATGAATGATTTTAAAGAAAAAATGACTTTAAAGATGGGAAGCATCTTCCTACTTCACCTTTTGTTTCAAACAGTAATTAAATTTACATTGTGTTTACCCAGGACAGTGTTATGATCAAGATTCCTCTGCCAAACCACTTAGCTTGAGCTCTCTCTTTTAAGTATGCACAACTTGCTAAGGGAAAATATGGATTATGAATGAGGTTGAAAAAAACAGCAGCCAAAATAACTTACAGATTTTAACATGACCCATTAGTTGGTGGTAAAAATATTATATATTCAGAGTTTGACAGTAAAGGAGAAAAACATCATGAAAATGAGGCTGCTTTGCTGTAATATAGATTTTGATATTCATTAGTAGGCTTCAAAGAGATCAACATTTGAGAAAATTTACTTTTCTTTTATAACAAACCTCCACACAGAACAAAGGGGAGGGGTTTCACAATAACCAATGAATACATTTTTTAAGGATTTGTAAATGCTAATTAAAGAAACAGGTTAGTATTCTAAGAAAACATGATTCACTTAGAACTTTAGAATGTACATTTTTTAAAATTCTAGATCTTGCAGCACTCTTTATCATACCAGCTGTGAAAATGGTGCGCTAAAATACATTCTTAATGTATAGTTAATTGGACTAAAAGCAACCTTATATATGCATCTTGTTACTAATCTTATTAAAGGAATGTGTGTATACATGTAAAAATGTATTTTTCTTGTTGCAACTTCTTTCCACTTTCTGTCTGATACTTTGTGAATAAGCGTTATTTCACAAGTTAAAAGCTAAAGCTTCAGCAAAGTACTTGAAGGAATTGGGGCCAAAGGGAATATTGAATGAATGACAAGACAATATTTACTGTTCAGTATAAATCAGTATAAGCAGTGTCACTGCTGTGGTTTCATAAAACAATCTTGTAGGCTTTTTCCAATTTAAGTCAGTAGAAAATTTGCTTCTGTGCAGAATTCAGTGTCACGGCATTTGTGATCATAGGTAGATGAGGTAGTCACCTTACCTTGATCACTCTGAGGGTTTTGTTTTAAATTTGTTTAGAGACTGTATGTGCATATGTCAGCATTTGACATGGATGCTGACTTCATCTATTTATTTCCTTTTCAGTCATCCAGGAAATTTTTTCCTGTTACATTTTTTGGATCGATCAGTTGGATAGCAATATTTTCTTATTTAATGGTTTGGTGGGCGCATCAGGTAAGAGAATGACACTGGTATGAAATGAAACTGTCCACTGTGTTTCAGTTTCTGAATAAACATTCAGAGTCAGTCAGTCACCATGTTGATTATTAGCTCCTTATTCTGTCAGGTAGAATGGCTGATGTGGAAGTGTCAGAATCTGGCAGAAGTGGGTGAATAAATTTATTTGACAAATATTTGACCATTCTCTTAATATCAGAACCAATGAGACCTTCTTCTGATAATGATAGTGATTAGTTCCTCCTTGACAAACTTGCATTAATTGCTCCTTGTATTTGGGCTTGTAGATATCTTCCTCTGCCACTCTACCATAATTCCTCTGAGTTGACAGTAATATAACAGGATGTACGCAGAGCAAAGTGCCTTCACCTTTAATAACAGCCCGTTTCCTGCTGCTCTTATTCAAGAGAAATGCCCATTGAACTCAGTGAAGATTTTTGTTTGAAAAATATGCTTTTTCTCCCTACTAGCAGTAGGGAGACAAGCAGTATTATCAAAGACAATACTAAGTATTATCCTTTTACAGCAGCCTACTAAGTATTGTCTTTGATAAATCACTTTGTCAGTGATGTTGTATGAATGATGTATTTCCTTTCTTCTCAAAAACCTACCAGAAGAACCCAAGCAAGCAAACAAGAAGGCCGTATCCACACAAGCATGGATATTTGGTTCCCTAGGGACAACTAGCAGCAGGACACCTTGTGCCACTGCTAGTTGTCCCTGGAGAATGCCTGTGCATACAAACTTTGACACGCAGCTGGTGTAAGGAAGGCTGGGGCCAGCACTAGGCCCCCCTTATCTGGATATTCAGTGGTCAAAAATCTCCCCCATGCTGTTCCCTTGCAGCATGGAGAACAGCTGAATGTGCAGTGTCACAAACCACACAGCTGTGCTTGTCTGGACGCGGCTGAAGTAAGTAACTAGTTGCAAGCATGAGAGTGTAATCTGCTCTCTTCCATTGGAGTCCTACCATAGATCAAAGCTGGAACTTGCCCCTAGCCAGTTTCCATTTTAAATGAGTTTACAGCCAAGAATGTCCATTCTTTCCCTGATATCAATTTTTCTGTCTCTTATTTCTCTTAATAACCCTTAGGTTGGAGAGACCATTGGCATTAGTGAAGAAATCATGGGATTGACCATTTTAGCAGCTGGCACCTCTATCCCTGACTTAATTACCAGTGTGATTGTAGCACGGAAGGGTCTTGGGGATATGGCAGTATCCAGCTCTGTTGGCAGCAACATATTTGACATCACAGTGGGGTAAGTACTTGAGAAATACTAATATCTAAGCTACAAAAACCCATGATGATTTGTGATATTGTTAGCCCTAATTAGTTCCTGCTCATCTAATTTAAAAAAATCTACTTACACATAGGAGTGAACTTACACCAATATATCCCACTAAGCATTTGGAATAAGTTATAATCAGCCTAGAGAAAAGTATATTTCTCAGCCCCTTACCTCCAGATGAGGGCATGTGTAGCATCAATTTCTGCTTTCAGTATGGATCAATAAGATATTGCTGTGCTACTTCATGTGTATGTCAAAGGTTTTGCCAGAATTACTGAGAATCCCTTAGACTATTCATTGTCCCCTTACCTGTGGTTTTTGTGAGATTTAAGGCAGATTTAAACCCAGCACATTATCTTGGTGGAGTATCCCCTTGTTATGGGAGAATCCCTGGGTTGTATACAGGCAGCTTCACATCCTGACACTCGGTATAGGAGCTCCCCGGCAATCCACAGCTCCTACAGCAGCCCTCTGCAGGCCACCTGCAGGCAGTTATGTGGAGCAGTGCTCATATCAGGCTAGTGCAGACCCCAGGGCATAGGTACAAAGGGTTGTTCCAAACCATCACCCCTTAGCAATATCCAGTGCCTGGGAATGGCCAAGAATCTAGGCCTCAATTATGTGGTGAATCCACCCGCACGTTTTGTGTTTAATTTTCAAACAGTAAGAAATATCATGAAAAGTTTAAGATCCCAATTTAGAACATTTTTTGTAGCATAAGCAGTGATCATGTTGCATAAAAGCCTCCTTTTTGTAATACTCAGATATCACCATTTATTTTCTTCCTTACATTTTTAATTTTTTTGTTTCTGGAAATGTGGACTCCCTTGTAGTATATGCATACAGTAATGCTGTATGCATGAAAACAGCAGAATCCAGCTCCATTTATCATATGGTTAATACTGAAGCTGCAATGAATTATTCCCATTTAATTGGGTTATTTAGAGACAATACAGTGACATGATGTGAGCTTCAGATTAGTCTCTCTTGTTACATGTTCAAAGCTCTGCTAAGTCCCAATCCAGTGCTTTAAATATTCACTTTTACTTGACATCTTCCAGAGTAATGTTGTCTGATGTTTTAGCATCACAGTTGGAAATTCAGTAACAGCGAGCATAATAACAGAAATTAAGCATTAGTTCGGACAAAGTTCAAACCGTTTTTGCATAGGTTTCCATTCTCGCTGTGAATCCAGAAGTTTTAAGGGCCAAACCTTGAGGGTAGCAGCTTTCTCTCTCAGTCCAGGTTGCATTGACTCAAAAACTACCACTGATGATGTGTGGGAAGGTCACAACCCTGGAACATTCACTGGCACTGCAGGTTCTTCCCTCTTGCCAGTCTAGATCTGATATTGCCTTCAAGGGAAGATGTAGGGGGGTAGGGTCATCTAGTTGAAACTCCAGGAATAAATTAAAGAATCCATGCAGTCAGGAACCGATCTACTAGCTGAAAGCTGTTGGTCACCTAGGCAGGAAAGCCTCACTGGCTGTGAAAAGTGAGTCCCCTGGATCTTTCCATCCTCATATTTCCTTCAAAGTAATGTGATTGCTTATCTATAAAGTGAGTCTGGTGTCTCACTCTGCGAGCATCCTGTAGTGGGGAGTGATGACAGAGAAGGATAGGAAAGTGAGAGAAGGGTAAGAAAACCTAGGGCTACTTGAGAAATGGAGAGCTCCCTTATATGTATGTCCTTCCTTCTCAGCTGCTCCACACCTCCAGATGATGGCATAATAATAATAATAATAATTTTTATTATTATTATTATTATTTTATGGTAGTGCCCACATTCCTCAGTCAAGACAGTGTTTTCCCCCTCTACTTCTTATGTTAGGACAGATTTTCCATAGCTTGACAGTTCTGACCTCCTCTTGAAGAGGAAGTTTCAACATAGTCACACTGTCTGATCAAGTCATCCCCCACGGCCAAGTACAGAATTGTTCTTTTTAAAGTTATCAAATGCTTACTTATTGGGTCCTGTACTAGTCAGTCAGTTGGGCTTCATTGTGTATAAATCAATGGCTTTGTTTTGAAATGTCTCCAGAGCATTTCCATTAACATTTTCAGCTTCTCTACAGCATTTCCAATTTCTTTTTTTTTCTGTTTCTCAACAGACTTCCTTTTCCATGGCTCATATATGCTATAATTAACAAATTTGCTCCAGTAACTGTTAGCAGCAATGGCTTGTTCTGTGCTATTGTCCTCCTCTTCATCATGCTGATTTTTGTCATTCTTTCCATTGCTTTCTGCAAGTGGAGGATGAATAAAATCCTAGGTTTGCTCATGTTCGCACTCTATTTCGTGTTCCTGATCGTCAGTGTCCTTCTGGAGGACAAAGTGATCTTGTGTCCTATCTCCATCTAGTGGGAAGCGCTGACTTTCTTGAATAAAAGAATAAGAATGATGCAAATGGAGTTTACCCTGACAATTAGCAATGGATCCATAACCCTTTTTATAAAGGAAAGGAATGGGTAACAGAGGCTGAAGATTTATTCATCTGATGCATTAGCTACTGCTGAATGAGATATTTACTTTGAAGATACGAGGCCGGATGCCATAAGGCTTTTGTGCTTGTGGGAGGAAGCTCTCATTGCTCCCTGGTGGAGGTACAGTACACGTATCATAACAGTGAAAGCTCTTATATATTCTGCACATACCATATGTTTCCATGTACCTCTCTTTCTCTATATTTATATATACCTAAACACAAAGTGATAAACTTTTGTAAGAAGAATGCTAGTATCCAAGTATTTATCTGATAAATCTGTGGAAGTGATTAGCCAACTATGTTTATGAGTAACAGAAAGAAAAGAATTTTCACATCACTTGATCCAAATGGGCTAATGGGCTGTCCTTTTGGTTGGTGTTCTCATGTTTTGGACATCTACTTCATTGGCCTTTACATGCACTTAGAATAGCACAGATGCTATTCTGATAGAATACTGCAAAAATCCTTCAGGTTCCAAAAACTGCCTCTTGGTGTAATGGTGCACTATAGCCTGGAGCATTTTTACTTGGGTCAGACATTCCTGATAGTCACAGGTAAATCCCAGACTGGGGATTTGTGGCCTCTTCTAGGATCAGGCCAGCATGCAAGGATAGCAGAAAACTACAGAGTGAATTCACTATTTTTCTAGTGTAGCAATACTATAAGCAATGATACTACCTTTCTTATGCTACTACTACTATAGGTTTGCCTTTTCATATAAGAAAAAAGGCTGGATCTGCTTGTGTGTAATCACTTAGAATTTAGGTGCAACTGCTGGATAGCAATCTAGTTACTGAAGTGGATCCTATATGCATTTTCCACTACAATTTGTTGTGTAAGTCCAACAAAATAGCATACTTTTTAATAATTTGGGGCAGAAGTTCAATAGCTGTAAATTATCATAGGTTTGTTGTAGAGCTGTGATCATTTATATCAGCTGAGGATCTGCTCTACAACCTTGGGAAATAAGGTAAGAGGAACTAACAAAAAAACTCCCGTAACTGAGTTGCAGATGGACGTGCAAACAGGAATCCTGTCATTTTATTTGGTATCTAGTTTCTGCAAGTGCCCATTTTAAAGCTATTTCTCATTTTTATCACTTCCACTATGAAAATGCTATACCCAGGACTGTACAGCAGATGGCTCAGCACATTTTGTCTAGTCAGTTGTTTGGATGCAGTTGTTATACTTTCCTTTCTGCATCCAAAGCCATTTTAATTTAATTCGTAACTTCTGTCCTTCATTGTATTCCTTGCATGTATGTTTGTATGCAACTATAACTGGGTAGAGCATAACAATTAACAAAAAAACAATGGTAGATAAAACAGTAAGAAATATATATGTAACTGAAATGTAGATATAGGTAACTAAAAATAAAAGTTCGTATTATGAAAGCTGGAATGCTAATGAAGAAAAGCAAGAAAATTAGAAATTAAAATTGCTGTCCTTATCTGCTAAAGTATTACATTCTAGGCACAAAAATCACATACTGAACCAACTTCTACACCTGTGTTGCTCATGGTTTTCTAGTGGGGTTTGAGCCTGGCTAATTAGAAGCAGAAATTTGGCCATGTGTTTTGTTTAATGGCAACCATTACTCTGATATATCCTAATCTGTAGTAGACAACCATCAATTTTTCTTGATCATCCTCATCTGTGCTGTACATTTAAATATAGCAGTATCCCCTTTCAGTAGGCATATACATACTGATAGTGCCTGCTGCTGAAGAGAATGGCAATCTGAAGAGAAAACAGGTAGTAGAGCCCAAATTCTGCACTCATTCACACTAAGAAACTGCCACTGCCCTCAGTAGAAATGTGTAGGTGTAAATGAGGGTAGATTTGTCCCATGGTCATCATCCAATCTTTTGAAGTAGCTTTTTCAAAGCAATACAGAGGTTTCAATATGCAATGTTTTCCTTAGAAGGGTGGGATAAGGGACGCTGATCACAAAAAAGAGTGCATACAAAATTTTATGAGCATGATGCAGCTTTAAAGTGATGATAGCATGTGAGTGCATGCTGTCATTTGAAATATACTCAGATCCAGATTCTCTGGGTTGACACTTAAATATTAAAACACATATGTTTGATCTTAGTTCAGTGCATTAAAGATACCCTGCATTTCACTGGTATAACTACCTCAAAGTATGTACCACACTGGGGAGAGAAAAACACCAGTGCTTGTAACTGGGACAGCAGTCTTAGAGCTCTGGTGTGCTATGGAGATCCTGTAGCAGTTCAGAATCTTACAACCTGTAAAGGGTTGGAATTAGGGTAGGGAACAGAAAATAACTATTCAAGAAGGCACAAAGCAAAACAGTGCTGTGGCTGCACAAACCAAGGAAAGATCTGTGTAGGCCTAGTGATTGGTATATTTTCATTGCATTTGCATGCTATTCTCAAGTATCTAACTTGGTTGTGGCTCTTCAGGAAACTTGACTGAGTTAGGTTGTCCCTACTGACACATTCATCTTGGAAGGTATTAAAAAGAGTGGTACAACTGGTCAGCTTATAAAAGAACGAAAATTTGCATGCCTCCACTGGTTTCAGTGGAACTGCACTGAATTACACTTGCTAAGGACCTGAGTTCATGTTTGCAAAATGCTATTCAGGTTCTGCAACAACTTGCTACTTTCAAGAAGTACTGGTCTGTAGAAACAACCACAACTGAATTATGCGGTGGGTGGTTTGACAGTGTGGTACTGTGATGGGGAGAGGGAAAGTTATGTGTGAACATGCAAATGCAGTTTGTAAGAAAATACAATTCTGGCAACACTTAACTACACCATTTTCTATCAGTCTATTGAAGCTCCAAGTGCAGACAGACCTTCTGTGTCTTACTGCCTGTCTGTGTACACTGCATGGTTTGTTGATTGATCTCACTGTCTACGTATTTCTTGTGAAGTATAAGGTACATTTCTACAAATTATTCAGGTGCCTACTGTGGCAGGGCACTGTAGGTATCTGCCACTTTAAGGGCCTGAGCCAAGCTGCCAGCCAGATCCCTACTTGCTTTATAACCTGATCAGTCCCCTGCTGGCAGGAGAGGCAGCAACATTGCCTGGTTGCAAGGCTGCTAGTATCATCCTGGAGGTAAGGGAGGAGCTGTAGGGGATGGCTTGGAGGCTCCTGGTCCTGGGCATGACCTAAAACTGCACCTTGCCAGGAGTGGG